GTGGTATGTTTGCCAGCGTCGCGAGTGGACCCCGAAAACAATGGCTGACAGCACATAGATCTACGCTATTAGCTATGTCAAGCTTGTGGTGACCGTTGTAAAGTATATGCCACAGGTAGGTCAATGCCGCGAGGATCTGCACGTCAGTATTGATTTGGCTTAGGTGTATGTAAACTACAAACGCAAGTCCACGGTTGGCTGGAGCATCGGCCAAATTCTCCTGGACTTTTCCGGCGGAATATTCTCCATGGCGCAGCTCATGATCGACTCGTCGCTCCAGGCGGATTGGAGCGGGCTGACAGGCAACCCGGTGAAGCTGGGCCTGAGCAACGTGAGCATCTTTTTCGACATCATCTTCATCACGCAGCACTACATACTGTATCGTGCGCCGAAGACGGCCATCGAGGACGACGAAGAATGGCAGGAGCAGCAAGGCCTCTTGGCTCAGTCTCATAGTTGAAGCATAGAAGGGCCGGCGTCTCGCAACGGCTACCAGTATCTAAACACATTACCACATAGTATCACACTGCCTTGAGTCAGCACACCCTCGAGGAGCATGTGAGACATGGGGCCTTGCATGGCGGCAGAGGTGATAATCCACGACTGATGCATCATATAACGGCAAGACGGATGCGCCAATTTTGAGGGCTCATATGCATCCCCAAAGTAGGCACCCGACAGACGTGTCACAATCAGGCAATCTCGCCCTCGACACTGGTAGACGGGACGGCAGCCCACGTTGTCGTAATAGCGAGCGGCCTATAGCGCAGTGCAACCTTGCGAATAGCAGAATGTAACGTGCCTAAGGTGCCACTAGCACCCCGCCCAGACATTAAATCGAGGACGTCCCCAGCCCTCAACGATAGTGCAGCTTGATCGACGTGGAGACCCACAGCCGATGCCGTAAATATTTCAAATGCTTAGCCCAGAACCGGCAGAGTTTCCCGACACAGCATCAGCCGGTCCAAACGTCAAGACGGCACGGGTGGGAAGTTCGTGATGTGCAGTTGTCGTGGTGATCTCCGCAAGCGTCGCAATTGGCATGCGGTGATCCCCCCTGGACCAGCCTTCTGATCAGCCCCAGGATGACACGGACTGGCGGACCCACGTTTCTGTTGACGACGCGGCGGGGGCTGGGGGCTGGGAAGGGGGAACTGCTCTCACTCTCAGCCGCCATATCCTGAGACGGAATCTCTAGCTTCCATCCATCCACCAGAGTTCACTCGTCGACGCAGGAGCAACGACAGACACTTGGCTCCCATCATCCCATATCCCCCAACCGTTTGGCCCCTTTTCGGCCTGCAACGGCGCCGTTCTGAGCCGCGGAAGCGGACCAGATATTGGCTGGGAGCGGCCTGCGAGCACCGACGACGTGGTAGTGCCGTCCTTCCTTTCTCCCGACCACTCACCACGCACACATCACCGCCGAGAAGTCGGATCTACCCGCCAGCGGAGCCTTCTCCACTTGACAGCATCGTCCATTGGGTCGGGCCACCTATTCGGTCAGGCAGAGCAGATCTGGCGCATCCACGGAGCCCTTGAGATCGTGAGCCGTGAGCCCAAATCCGCGGGCACCCACCCACACGAATTCGCCGACCCTGATCTTCTCTTGGCTGCCAATCGCAACGCCACGGCCAACGCAGAGGCGCGTCCGTCCCAGGGTTCCGCCAAGTGAGGGAGCAGTTGGCAGTTGGCGCTATGTCGGTACGTCTCAGCTCCCCTTCGTTATACCTTGCTCGATCCCAGGTCTGCGTTTTCGTCCCTTAATCCCGGCCCAACCATGTCTGCCCTGCATCGCAAGAGTTTCTTTTAGAGGCGCTCAACTCACAGCTTTTTCTCTGCCCCGCAGCTTCCTAGAGCGTCATCTCCACACTCCATCATCACGATGGCCGGCATGCTCGGCGATCACGAAGATCGAGGGCCCGTGAGCCCTGGCACTATTGCTTCTGGGACCGCAGACCAGATTGAGCACGCTATTGACGACGGCGCTGCCGGCGAACCACTCGTTCAGGACCCTCAAGAACTTTTCCAAGGGCCAAATGTGTCCGCACCTCGTACGCCGGTCAATAAACCGGTCCCTAAGCCTTCACCCCTTGGTAGCCACCCTGTCATATCATCAGATGAAGAGACGGCCCCAGCGCCTCCAGATTTTACGATGCGTGGTATTCATATACCAACCCGCACCAGGTGCATATTCCTCACCCTCCCTTCATTCTAATCTACTAATACATCAATCCGACTACAGCAGCAAAACAAAGATAAAGCAGCGCCGCGTGCGATCTTCCAGTCGAGAGCCCAGAATGTCCAACTCCGTCCCCACTACCCCAGAGTCACGTGAGCGAAGCTCAACGGAATCCATCATGTCTTATGCAACCTCAGCTTCTTCGATAATGCTACCGCCACTTCAGACGAGAGGCCCGCCGGACGACGTTGACCGACTCACGCCTCTATACGAGGATGACCCCCAATCATTCGACCTACTGGAGGAGCCAAGTGACGACGGTGCAAAAGCTTTCTCAATGGAAACAAGGTCCGAGCAGATGTTCTCGCGAGCACATCTACAGGCTATCTTCAAAGACACTTCTCTGCTACTCAATTTCACAAACTTCCTCAGCACCAGCCGGCCTGCTTCTCTCCCAATTCTCATCTACTATTTGGATGCTCTCAAAGCAACGCGCGCAATCAATTACGCCAATGCTATAGCGGAAGCTCTCGAACCACTGGACGGTCTAGATTTCACCAAACATCCAGCTAGGCCAACCGTCAACTCGGTACTAGAAGAAAAAGCCAAGGCAGCCTTTGATGTCCTAGTCCGCGAGGATCTCCCTTGTTTCATAGCCCACACCTGGATTCAGACAGTCAGTGTGAGCATCCGGAAGCGAATCACAGGAAACTTGCCTCCAGCGTTACGAGAGGCATCAGAAGGACTGGCGGAGGTTTTCTGCCTCTCAGATCCGTCAAGACCAGATAATCCTATAGTGTTCGCGTCAGAAGGTAATCTCTTCTTGCTACCTGTACGGCCGAACGTCAGCTAAACCGACGCGGCAGAATTTCATCGAACTACGCAATATGGAGTCAGTTACGCAATTGGCCGAAATTGTCGATTCCTTCAAGGTCCGAAGACGAACCGCTCTAGCGCTACGCGCATACGTAAAGCGATTGAAGCTGGAAAGGAAGTCAACGAAGTGTTCCTCAACTAGTAGGTTGCTGTACCAGATCCCACTAGGCTTTGCTAACCTCCGCAGCCGTCGGGATGGCTCCCCATTCATGAATCTTCTGATGTGTGCCCCGCTCTTTGATAGTCGCGGGAAACTTCGCTACTTCATCGGGGCGCAAGTTGACGTGAGCGGTCTTGTCAAAGACTGCACTGATCTGGAAGCGCTACAGCGCATAGTCGACAAAGAAAATAACAGTGCAGACTCAGACATGCCCGAAGTAGCAAAAGACGAGTTCCAAGAACTCAGCGAAATGTTCAATGTCGCCGAACTAGACACGGTGCGAAAGCACGGTGGAAGGATGCACCGAGAACACGTCGACGACGACGACCAGAGCTCAATCGCCCATCGCCCGCGGCTCCTGCTCCGAGACTCGGGCGGGATGGAGTCCACACCAGTGAGAATGCCGTCTTCGAAATCAGACGGACGATTATCTGGAGTGTATAAAAACGTATGTCATCCTCTCACGTTCATATTAAAGCTAGAATTTACTAACCTCACAACTCACAGTACCTACTCATCCGCCCCGCCCCTTCGCTTCGCATTCTCTTCACTTCTCCATCTCTCCGCGTCCCAGGCATTTTGCAATCACCCTTCCTCTCTCGCATCGGCGGCTCTCCGCGCGTCCGCGAATCTCTCGCTGTTGCACTCGCAGACGGTTCCCGCGGCGTCACTGCCAAGATCCGATGGCTGACGACTCCCACCACCAACTCATCCGAGACCTCCGACGAAGGCCGCAGCAGATGGATTCACTGCACGCCACTCCTCGGCGCCGGCGGTCGCGTGGGCGTATGGATGGTCGTGCTCGTCGACGACGAGAGCGAAAACGGGCGCGTGCGGAAATTCCGCGAGGCGCCGCCTGTAGCGAAAGAGATCAGGAGGCTGGGCGGTAGGAACGATTTCGAGAGCACCATGCCCAACGTTGATGGCTACAGCGATGAGTTGTTCGGCGAAGTCGCGAGTGTGGAAAGGGATGCACGGAGGAATGGGAGGGTCATCCCGGCTTCGCCTATCACGCCGACGAGGAACGGGTTTGCAGCGCAGATGCCGTTTGATGGGGTTATGCGGCCGGGGAGCTCGAGGAGTGTGCAGCGCGCGGTGAGTCCCGGGTATGGGTCTGGGTGGGAGATGCGGACGAATATGGGAAGTGCCGAGGGTAGTATTGCGTCGTTTGCATTGACTTGAGAGAGGAGGGAAATATAAGAAACGCGTTAGGCAACATATTGGATGACGCGGATTGGGATGGTACGATTGGGAGGAGGCACTCTGCTGGCGGCTATATACCCACGGCTGGGAGGGCGTACATTTGGTTTTTTGAGCATCTGAAACATCATCTATTGCTTGTTTGGGTCTATATAAATCTAGAGAGCTATTTGAATATCATACCTTTGTACACATATTCACTCGCTTCAGAGCTCTCAACTAGCATCTCCGCCCCCACCCTGCTGCCTAGCTCCTCTACCCCTCACCTACCTCGAAGTCCCACACCTAACAAACTGTATTATTTCCCAACGAGCGGTAATCCGGTGTGGTTTAGTTGGTTATAATTCGAGGTACCTTTCATCCCCGAGACCCTGGTTCGATCCCAGGCGCCGGACGCTTGACGTATACCTTTGCTGTTTGGTGTCCCCGTTTCTTTTTGAACGGTACCTAGAACTAGAAGGGTAAGCCCCACAGAGTTCTCTTCGTGACGTGTCCTAGGCCGCTTGGACGGAAAGTATTGGCTGGACGCTACGTAGGCAGCCTTGTACGCTTTTATTTTGCGGGTGGTGAATACCTTTCCAATCCGGTGTGGTTTAGTTGGTTATAATTCTAGGCTTTTTGCTACCTCGAGACCCTGGTTCGATCCCAGGCGCCGGACGCATTGCGTGTACCTTTGCTGTTCCGTGTCGTCTACAGCCCCTATTTCTTTTGACCTACATAGGTAATAGGTAGAGGATAGGGTGGGGCAATTCCACCTGACTTGGCTGTGGGGTGGGCCGCCCCACACTGTTCCCCATTCGTGTCACGTTCAGCCCCAAACAAGATACCCCCAAAGCTAAGCCTACATAGCCATGTACGTTTTTAATTTTCAGGGATAGCGAATTCTTTTCATCCGGTGTGGTTTAGTTGGTTATAATTCGGTAGGTGGACTTTCCTGCCTCCGCGAGAGTTTGATGAGTACGAAAAGTGCGAAAAGAAGCTGATGATGTGGGCGGTAGGGTGCCTTCCTGCTCGAGACCCTGGTTCGATCCCAGGCGCCGGACTTTGCGGGCGATGATTTTTGTGTTTTTGCGAGTCGGGGACAGGTTCGATCGTTTTTGGAAACGGCGATGGTGATGATGATCTTTTGGGCGAGCGGGTGGAATTGAGGTGGTTGGTTTAGTTGGGCGTGATGGGGTTAATGAGATAAGGAATTTAATCAGAGAATTTGGCGTGAACGCTGATAATGGTGGGAGCCTTTCACTTTCAGAGATGGTCTTCGTTTGCTTCTAGCGGCTGGACAATGTCGTATGAGCACGACGTCTGTTTCGTTGTAGGATGGATGGTGAGGCGTGATGGTTGATGAAGCTTGAGAGCGACTGTCGGGTTCAGATTGATGATATCGAGCGAGTCTACATCATGAAGGATGAAACATCATCTGAGTTAGTGAACAAGATTGAGGAAAGAAGAGTCGGAACTAGTTGAGTGCAAGAGTTTTACTCAATTGCCATGTGACATAGCCGAAAGGGGCTAGGCATTTTCTATGCTATCGTCCCTCCATCTGTCTCCTTTCTTCATCTACGACGGAGGCGGCACCCCAATCGTCATCCCACCATCTACCGACAGGATCTGCCCCGTCATCCACTGCGACCCGGGCAAGCACAGAAACACAGCTGCCTCGGCGATGTCCTCCGCCGTCCCCAATCGTGGCCATGGCGTGGCCTTCTTCATCGTCTCGTGGATCGCGTTATTTTCGAAATTCTGCCTCGCCATTCCAGTCGCAACTACACCTGGCGACACGCAATTGACATTAATATAGTCCTTAGCATGATCAAGAGCGCCAGCACGCGTCATGTGATTGATTGACGCTTTGGTTGCGGAATATGCGACTTCCCCAGGGAATCCAAAGTTCCCAGCACAAGACGAGATGTTCACAATTCGACCTCTGCTACCCCATTTTAGGTCTACGTCTTGCTTCAGAAACTGCTGAATAGCTTGACGGCACATTCGAGCGGTTCCCAGGGTGTTCACTGCGGTCATTTTAGACCACAGGTCATCGTCTTCTTCAGCGAAGGTACGGAAGGGCGCCCAGTAGCCGGCGCAGTTGATGACGATGTCGAGTCGTCCGAAGGTCTGAATATCGTGAGTAGTTGCTTTTCGCGAAATGCTAAGATTTTCTTACCGAAATCGTCTTCTCAAACCCGTCTTTAACTTGCTCTGCGTTTGAAATGTCTACCTGGCAGAAAATCGCAGCGCCGCCATTTTTCACGATGAGATCTGCTGTTGGCACATCTTTGTCTGCCTCGTAACCGTTGGGATTTGCACCTTGCTTCAGGTCACAACAGACAATCTTAGCTCCGTGTTTTGCCAGTCCAAGGGAAATGGCGCGCCCCATTCCTGCAAATGGGTTAGTATTGCTTTTATTGGCTTGGTGGGGAAGCTGGACCAGATGAGCCCCCCGTCACCAAGGCTACCTTATTTTCCAACGCTTTTGGGTCCATGACGAATTGTATGTTCAATATTCGACGAGTAGTGCATTTGGGCTTGATGCGCTTTCATCGCTGTTATGGAAGATCTAGTTGCAGGCATCTGCATGCTACCCGGTCCCCGCATCTCGGACAAATTTCAATCGGCCAATTTATCTCCCTGAATGCCCCTGGGGTACCATTTGGACTTCATTACGCCGCTTGTGATTTCAAATACAATGTGGAGACCCCACAAAATGGACATTTACGCCTTCCTTGTATACCCACGACCTCGAACCGTTCACTCGGAACCGTTAAGCATTTGATCATCCAAAACTGAGCTTATTCTGTACCGAGCTATGGCGGACCATCAGGCTATACCAGGAGTTTCTCTCACGAGTACCATCACTCCACACACAACATATGTCAACATCGTCGTAAGTAGCGGGCTGATTTATATTCACAGGCGCCGCTAATGCATTTAACAAGACCATCCTCGTGGCGGGCATGGGCAGCTTTCTGTTCGGGTACGCCAACAACTCTATTGCCGGAACCCTCGCCCAGACGTCATTTATCGAGAAGTTTCTCACGGGGAGCAATGCGACATCGATCATTGGGGGAATCCTTGGAGGGTACGTGCTTTATATGCTCATCTATGAGTATTCTTTCAAACCCAAAGGTCTCTAATAGTTGTATAGATTCCAAGGAGGAGGATTGATCGGCGCTATAATCCAAGCCCCTATCTCACAACGCTTCGGACGGCGTGCTGCAACTGGCACCGCCGCTGCTCTTGTCACCTTCTCGGCAGCTTTACAAGCGGGAAGCGTCAACATCGCTATGTTTCTGGCTGCCCGTGTCATCTGCGGGATTGGAGCCGGCATCGTCATCACCAACTGCCCGGTTTATATGAGCGAGATCGCGCCACCGCACATACGGGGAATGCTTGTTGGCAACCACGCAATCTCGATCGTATACGCCTACATTTTCTCCTCGGTGGTTGCTCTTGGTTTCTACTATGTGGAAGCACCATATGCATGGCGCTTGCAATACGTCATGCTCGCCTTCTTTGGACTCATGCTGGGCGCCTCCTTGTTCTTCCTACCGGAGTCACCCAGATGGCTCTGCGAAAAAGAGAGGCATGATGAAGCGTGGATTGTTCTCAGACGTCTTCATCAGTCTAAACAGGACCCGGAGGCACAGCTTGCGAGGGCCGAGATGGCTCAAATGAAGGCTCAAATTGAATCAGAGAGGTCTTTGCCGACCGGCTACATCCATATCTTCCGCACTCCTCATCTGAGGCACAGAGCCTTCTGCTGCATTTTGGTGTGGGTTATGGGCCAGTCTACCGGTATTCTAGTCATCGCAAACCTTACTCCGGTTCTGTTTGGCCAGTTGGGATTTGGTACGGTGTTGCAACTTGGTCTCTCCATCGTATGGACTACGGTCGCGCTGATAGGCTGCTTCATCAATGCTGCGCTCATGGATCGCTTTGGTAGAGTAAAACTACTTGGTAAGTCATTCCCAAAGCTGTTAGCAAATTTAGCCACATTGATCTAACGCGACGACAGTGACTGGCGGTTTTCTGTGCAGCTCCACGTTGATAGTCGAAGCGGTCCTCCAGAAGTATTACCTTGGATCAACAAACAAAACGGGGATCAATGCTGCTGTAGCCATGTACTTCCTGTGGATTCTATTCTACGGCTCAACGATCGATTGCGCAGCCTACGTCTACATATCCGAAATCTGGCCAACCCACCTTAGAAGCAGCGGAACCACTATTGGGCTGGTCTCGTTCTTTGCTTGCTCAATTGCGTATACCAGTCCGGCTTCCGAAGGTTTTGCGACTATCGGATGGAAATATTACTGGGTGATGATTTGCGTATGCCTCGTCTCCGCTACGGCTATCTTTTTCGTTCTCCCAGAGGTATGCCACTTGCACTCTCATTACTCTTGCAAAATTACTGACTTTCTATTCGATAGACCGCAAAGCTCACTCTCGAAGAAATCGGAGAAAGATTCGGCGATACGGTGGTTGTTCACTTTGGCGAGCAATTCGAAACCAAGACCAACGACGAGACCCCAGTGGCAAATGGAACGGAAAAGTCGGCGCCAGAATTGCAGGAAACGGTTGTGTAATTCCACGGTGCGATTTTTACGAGGGTTGTAGTAGAAAGATACACCGGAAGTCTATATCACTCCGCTGCGGGGATTAGACCGCCTTGGCAGACCGCACCGCAATGATATGCAGCAAGGATCCACTCCTCCCCACGGGGTGGATCCCCCGCTATTTTGATTCAACAGTCCGACGCATTTGCATTTACCTAGAGCCCGGTGTGAATTTCTCCAATGTCCCGTTTCTGAGCCGTGCCGTTATCCGGGTGTTCAGTAGCGCTGGATTTAGGGCGAGAGTAATCTATTACGCCATCGACCTTCAAAGAAAGTTGCTTCAAAACATCTCGAAGCTTGCAATTTGGGCACATAAGATCTTGCAGTAAAGATGTTTGAAGGGAAATATTATACCGTGACAGGGGCGGCGTCGGTGAGCTTACCTAATATCCAATCAACCAAGACCCCATTAGTTCATTTTCGTCAAACTTACCTGCATAACAGGGAATTGGTAAAGCCACAGCCCTTCGTCTAGTTGAGAAGGGTGCCGCTGGTGTAGCCCTCAGCGATGTCAATCTCGCTGGCCTTCAAGAGACAGTGGAGGAGTGTAAGTGTTCAATGCTCTGTGCTACGTATTAACTCCAACACTGCCATCTAACCCAAATCAGGCAAGAAAGCGGGATCCGCAAACGTGATTGCAACCAAAGTCGACGTCCGCGACCCCGAGCAAGTAGGCGCCTGGATCGCCGATGTCTTCGCCCAATTCAAGCAACTCGATGGCGCCGCCAACGTGGCTGGTGTAGCGGGCGGGACTGGGGATACGATTATCGAAACAATCGCACGTCTAACCCTCCTCACTGCATCCTCCATTCCAAACCTAACAATCTAAAAGGTCCAGAAAGACTGGGACTTCACCCTCGGCGTGAACCTCAACGGCGTCATGAACTGCATGCGCGCACAGCTCCCCAAGATCAGCCGGCCCGGCGGTGCTGTCGTCAACGTAGCTAGTACGTCTGGCCGCCGGGGGCTTGCGCATAACGCGGCGTATGCTAGTAGCAAGTTTGCGGTTATTGGGTTGACGGAGAGTGCGGCGGGGGAGTATGCGAAG